GCAGCGCTGCGCTGCCTCTGGGAAGCAGCTAGCCCAGCCCCAGCCTGCCGCGAGCGTGCGGCGTTGCCGCCTCCAGTTCGGGGAGCAGCTCACCTACCGCTGATTGAAGGATCTCTGCTGTTGCTGAATTGCACTGTATAGACGTGCCCTTCGTTACTCCACCGGCGTGACAAACCAGAGGAATAATCCTTATTTTCTAGGACTTTTTTCCTGCTCGGAAGTAGAACACACAATCACCTGATTTATGTTCAAGGCAAAGCTATCTCTACAAGGCAGAAAAGTGACACGCACTCTTAATGATACAGATTTTTATTTATTTAATTCCTGAGGTTAAAAAAGGAAAACAACCATCAAAAAACATCCCAGTACACAATCATCTACATCCCTGTAACTGTACAAACATTGGCATACATAAATCCTTTTTCCCCCTTCTGGAACATGAAGTTTGATGTGAACAGGCTGTGCAATCCTTTGGCAAGTAAGACCAAGAGATGTTTCTGAACAAGTTACGATATATATGATTGAGCATTATTAAAACTATAGTGCAATTTAAATTAAAAAAAAAAAAAGAGAGAGCAAAGTCAGGCTTTTGCAGCTTTGCTACTCTGTAATGCAGTAAACTCTCGTGCAATACATGCCAGTGATTTTTTCCTAAACCGATGTGGAGTAACGTTCATAGAAATTTAAAGGAACACTGTCATTTTCTCAAAGCAACTATGCTCTTTCCTTTGCATAAACCTCTGAATACCAAAAATTATTACCCGCCACTTTTCTAGCTCTCAGGAAAAATCACCCAGTCGCTTGTGCTGCCCACAACATATACTCTCTCTGCCACGTGAACGTAACATCTTCTTAAATTAATGTCATGATTAATTTAAAATATTTCTCTTATTCGCACTGCCAGGGATGGTCAGTTCATAAAGGGCCCAGGTCAACAGAGCACCTGAACACTCGTAGGTAAACGGATATATTAGTGTCACTGGAACACCTCACGTGCACACGCTCTTTCTGAACTGGGGTACAAGGCGCTTGAACGAGATCGGTTCTGGTAGGAACCTGTCCCTGGGGTAAGTCCCGTGTCGGGCTCCTGCCGCTCCGTTAGTAAATGGTTTGGGACAACCAAAAAAAAGGCCGGTTGGCAACGACAAGTTCTTCACCGACTCTTGTTCGCTTGTTGTGCTTTACCATTTCAAATATTTCCTCTTTTGAAACTTTTTCTTAAATACTCCCTTCCTTGTTTAGAAGCAAGTATTTGCTTTTAGTTTTTAAAGTACAGGCTCTGGCTCTCAATCTTAGTCCTCTTTCAGAAAGCAAAGAAACCATAAAACTACTCTCACAGGGCAGGAAAATCTGAGGAAAAGGTACTCTAAAGACTCAAAGGCTAAATAAAAAAAACTCAGTGTTTTTATTCCCCTCCCGCGTACTGAACAGGACAGAGCCAATTACTTTAAGAATTACATAAATCGTAGCTTAAACATATTTGCCACAGGATGCAAAAATGTTAAGAGCTAGGATGCAGAGAGGAAGCCCCGAGGCAACTCTGTCAAACACTTCTGAGTAGAGATAATTCAAGTACTTCTGAGCAGAAATGTCATATTTTGACCTGACATATTTGACAGTGTCCCTTTAACTTACATTTGGCATTTCAAGAAAGATATCCTAGTGAAATTAGTATTCTAACTAAAACAACAGCAAAATACTTTCAAAAATCACACCTAAAAGCTTAAGGAAAACTGCAGCAGCCTTCAGTTCAGCTACGGTTCAGTGAAATTGCATAGCATATGGTACACAGTATTCCATTTTTAAGCAATAAATAATCTCTGATTGCCTAATTAAATATAAAACATAGCTTCAACACTGAAATATGCCATAATTCATGAACTGATCAGTGCATTGTTTATTGCCCACTTCAGTCTCTTGTCCATCTCCTTTTAACACATGCAGCCAGGTAGGGTTTAACTGTGTTGCGTCCTGACCCCGCAGGAGAAGAAGTAAAGCAGCTTTCACCTTTCCTTTCCAGAGCACACCTCTGCTTGGCAGATGCTGCACAGCACCTCTTAAATACGGAGAAGAGGCATCTAAAGGGAAGAGAAAGTCGCTGGCGGGCCAGACATCTCAGCTGGGGAGGCCCCCTGACTTCAGCTTGGTGCCACCCCGAGTGCAAGTTGTTCTGTTAGAAAGCCCCATACACACAACCTAAAATCTACACAGCCCACGAAGGGGAGTCATTCTTCCACCATTTCTTCAAGATCAGAATATTTCTATCGTGTTAGTGACTGGCACGAATGACTGCTAGCATTTAGTTTTATCTGCAGTCATTATCTTCTTCTCTCTCCTATGATTAGAAATCTCCTTCTGTCCCAGCTGTTCATATTTAAATGTCAAACATTTATCTTGTGATCTCTGTCTTTTAAACAGCCAGGCTATTGCTTTGGAGTGAGATCCCCTACGGGTAGTGAACTGGACCAGCAATATATAAACATCAGCAGGATCCTCCAGACTTCCTCCCCGAGCTGAGCTGATCCCTCCATTCCCTGCCCCTGCTTTTGCATTTATGAGCTTGCCTCTGCACTTCCTTTCCTCATCCCTCAATCATTTGCTTCAGCATGTACTTGCTATTCTTCTTCTCCTTCATGTTTTATTTTCTGTGTCCCACCATGACCCTTGTATGTATATCAGCAACAACTGCCACCAAGGGTCTATAGGCTTTCTGGCAGGCTGAGCTGGTCTTCTATCAATTGGTGCACTAAAACCTCCCAGGGTCTGAAGTTCTGAAGTTTCCTTGGGAGAAGAACAACACGGGAAATCAGACATATCTAAAATTATGATGAAGCCTGGTTGGGAGAAAGTGCTTTTTCTCCTTTCTCCTGCCAAAATGTTTTGCCTTTCTGTCAGAAAACAGAATTTTTTAACAGAAAATCTACTTTCAGATATTGTCACAAAAAGTTGAAATTCTATATAGAAAGCAGACAGTTTGCATGGAAACGTTATATAAATAGAAATCCAGTCTTCCTTCCCTCAAATGGCAATATGTTTACAGCCAGCTCTGTCCCCAGATTTGAGATGGGAAGCTAGCAGTTTGCTATGGCCCAGCAAATACTGAGAAGCAGAGATGAAAACAAGGCTTAAGAAATGGGCAAAATACACTGATACAGGATGGAGAGCTTATTAGGGCTGGATATGCACTCAGTTTTGGATGGACTTTTTGAGACTGTTTCAAACGTTACTGCTACCTTCCACTTGGTCTAGAGGAAGACCTCCTTAGAGACTGTGCTTTCCTGTGAATGCCGATGATTAAGGTGCTAAAGCAGGAAAAAGAAATGCTCCTCTTCCTAATATCACACAGTGAGTGGTACTTTATGCTGCAAATTATACTCCTGATTCTGCCACTGGTATTCACTTTAAGTGCTGATTTCAATGGATCAACTTACAGAGTATGGTGAGCAGCAGTGCAAGGAGTTGGTGCTTCATGTTTTATTGTTTTGTAATTGGTATTGAACAGTAGAGCATTGGTAAAAGCCAGTTAAGACATACGAAATCTTAGCCGAAAATGTAAAAAACCCCTATATTTGCTGTTTAGAAAACTTGAAAAAGACAAAAAAATTCTAGATGGATTACAATATATGCCTGCAAAGACTGAAGTATTGCATAGTTGTTCTGACACTACGAGCAGTAGAGCAGAACAGAAATAGGTATGTCTACTCTCCACTGAAGAGGTCAACTAAAATAAGCACTTTTCTTTAAATTTCCTTCTGAAGTTTTTTGAGGGGAAGAAAAGTCATTCAGTTTTGAGTAGAGAATTTGAGTTTCCATTTAGACAGCCCCTCATTTATTTTTCTCCCCACCGAATAAAAATTTAATTGGAACATTATTTGACCTGTTAAATCAAGCAACATGGCTTTTGAGCAATCTGTACACAGTACAGAACCATTAGTGTTCCTAAAACGGCTTCTTTTTCCTAGTGTGTACATGTTCTCTAAGCGCATTATAATTATTGCATAGTTTCAAAGTCTTCAAACACAGTGGTAGTCATATTGCTTGCATATACATAAATAATAGCATTTCTTAAAAATTGAATTAAAAATAACACAGTATATTCAAGGCTATGGAAAATCACTTCCATCATAGATGACAGGTCGCTCGACAGCCAAGTGATAAAATACTCTTTTTGAGATAAATCTGTTGAGAAAAAAAAACAGGATGAGATGATCATGTTAGCTGAAGTCAAGTAGTCAGAAAGTCTTAACAGTGTAACCAATCTTTCAGTTTACACTCAGGCAAAAACCTCTGCTTGTGGCTGAAGAAAAGTTTTGCCTGCAGGAGGGCTGTCAGGTCTGCTATTTATAAAATGACAATCCTGACTAATTTGACTTGAAAAGAATTACAAATTACTTGCTTACTTCTGTTTACCTTTTCAGAGGTCAAGACTGAAGAGAGGAATTATGCTATGATGGGGGCAGGAAGGAAAAACAAGAACAAGAACCCAAACGCTGGTTTGAAGGTCCTTTGGTCCTTACTTCCTAATGGAAGTAAGCCATAGCAGTAAAAATAACAATATATCTCATCAGCTCCACAGTCTGTAAAACAAAGCTTATTTCACCTTTTACACTCAGCTAGGACCTACCTAGAAAATGTGTTGTCAAATATTAGCATGTAGATGCCAGAATTTCTGACTTTCACCTGGCCTCTGATAGTTTCCTTATGTGAACTGCAGCGAGTCATAGGAATAAGAACCTGGAATTAAATACAAATCAAGATGAAACTTGTAATTTGCTCTAGAAGTTGACATTTGCCTTGAAAAAAATATTTACACCTGAGACATCTTGAAACCCCCAAAGTGCATAAATGCCTTCAAAACTGTATTTATTTTTACTGATTAGCATTAAAAATCCACCCAAACTAAAGTCTTATAGGATGACATTCATTTTCCTTTGACAACCTTCTTCCAATGTTAAGTTATGGCTATAAATCTCAGCTTGAGAGAGAGAATCAAGTCCTGACCTTTTTTATGTTGCTTATCAATGCAAATTCACTAACATCAGCAGTGGTACATTAGATCTATCTGTACAAGTATATCCAAGAGCAGAATCTAGCTAAGTATGCCTTTTATGACGTCCTTTTATACTCCCTGTACTATAAAAACCAGCTTTCTCAGCAAATCTTAACTGCTTGTCGAAATTTATAGCAAAACTGGGTGTAACCTAGGGTGGCTAACTTGCTGTAAAACTGTATTAAGCACAAAACCCAGGAGGTGTTCACCTCAGCACAACAGCTGACATAGATCAAGGTCACTCCTATACAACCCAAAGCTATATCAAATAAATTCTTCAAGATAGACCATTATTCAGTCTGCATTAGGCCTTCACATGAAGAAAACAGAGATTTTACACAGAGTTAGGTATCCCGCAGTGAATCAGCTCATGCTGTACAAATGACCTTTTCCCCTGAGTGAAATCACAGCCTTAGAGCACCCCCTAACATGGCAGATCGAACCAACAGCTGCCCTGTTTCCACTAAAACTTTGCAATGAGTTGAGTAATGCAAATTCACTTAATGCACAATTCTCATGAAATACAGGCAATGCATATAAAAAAAGCTGCCCTGGGCCCCGGCAGGGTGATTTTGCAACAGGCGAGCACTCCACCAAAGCACTTAAATATGTGCTTTACTGTAAAAACCATACATAACCCAATCAATTCATCTATTTCCTTGTGGCATCTGCTTAAAAGCCTGGTAAGATCAGCCTTAAGCAACTTGCAAACTAAGTAATATTGAGGGAGGAAAAAGATTTTTGCAGCCTGGACATTTCTTTTTGCTTAAGAATAGCGAGTGAATTTCAAATATGAACAACAAAAGCTAGAGTACTTTTCAACTCAACTTTCCCAGGCAACATGAAACGATTAAATGTATCTCTGCCTTCAGGAGAATTGTAACTTAACTGGAGAAACAACTTCCTAAGATGCAATAGGAACTGGAACTCTTGTGGAGACCTACTAGCTATACCGATTGATTCCACCAGGCACCTGATTGTACTGTGCTACAGTTTCACGGTAGTAAGGAAAGAAAAAACCCACAGGGAAATAAAGGCCTTACTTTGCAGTGATCCAGTGGTGCTTCTTCTGATTCTTGATAAACAACACTGAAGGATATGCTTTTAGGGTCTGATGAAAATATCCAGCTAATTGTTAGGCCTGTCTCTGTCACAGTGATGGGAATGATACTGTAAGTGCTGGATTTAATGAACAGCTCTCTGTTGCCTTCCCCAAAATTTAGGATGTCTTCCACTGTAAGGGGCAATTTCATCCTGTAAAGGAGAAAAATACAATCACTTGAAGAGATCCAACCTAATTATTCAGGCAGAAACAATAAACGTTGCTTTTTATTTTCCATCTATATAAGGCAGACTCTACGGTGACTTTGAGGCAAGGCCACATGATGCAGCAAAAGTGAGCCTTGGATGAAGGCAAGAACGACAGAAAATATGACTGATACCAAGCATTTCATTGCTCTGGAAAATGTGGACTTTGTTCACTTATTTACTCCATTTTGACTAGAAAAAGCTAGTGCTTGACTTAAGCTTTTTAAGAGTTACCATGACAAAAAAAAATATCTGCTGCCCTCTATTGTTCTTTTCAAACACAAACTGCTGTCACTTAATTTACTTACCTTTCCAGATATCGTAGGGAAATAGGGAGCAGAGGGAAAAGGGGGATAGATGGATTGAATGTGAACAGCACTTCTCTCTAGATTTTCTGGAGCACTTAATGCTAGAGCTCAGACTGCTTTACCCAAGTGAGCTGCATAAAAGCTGAGTCAAAGCACCTCCAATTAAAAAGGAAGCTCTCAGTGCCGAGACACTGCTGAGTCCCACAGCATTTTATTAGCCCTCCACAACTGGAGGACCTGTTTCAGACTGCAGTGAGCCACTTAAACAGGAGAATTGCCTTCTTCAGGGGAAACCTGCAATTCCTTAGAGTGGAGGATCTCACCTACGGTACCCTAACTAAAACTTATATAACATATGACTCTATAGACCAGATACATTGTTTCCCCAGCAGTGAGCTCACTGTAAATCACAGTACTGAGATATGTTTGTCAGCAGCTATCAAAAATCCACACATTTGCCAGAAGATAAGGCACAGCTACCATGATGATTTCCTGTTCTAGAGTAAGGACGAGTTCAGTCTCCAGCCATTACCATGCAGTGCTTAGGGATTAAAGTTGATCTATTATGATAATTATTGTACTCTGGTCAAAGAGGAAACTTTATATGAAGTTTTACTTATCTCATTAGTTTTTCTGCTTAGGTGAAATGACTGCTATCATGTCTCAGGTGACCTTTGGCTTTGGTAAACTAATGATTACCCCTGTTTTTGCCCTACTGCCTGGCTATGATTCTAGTTTCTGCTTCATTTGCCTGGTTCTCTGAACAGCAGCAACAAAATTGAAACAAGGACCAATTATCTCCTCGCAGTAAAGTTTAAAACGATTAAGCCCATGAGTGCCCATGATTACGCCAAAAATCCAAGGCTAGGCCTGAAGGACACAGGGGAGTTTTTCCAAGTCATGGGAGTTCTGGTGTGTTAGATTGTCCCCGTGGCTGTGCAAGTGACAGGCTGATTCACCACTGCACACAACTGTTAGCTTCTGAGCAGTATATATGCAGAGAATTGTGCGCACACAGTTCACAGAAGTTCCACTGAGGCTCAGCTGAACATTTTCCACTGATGCACACATCAACCAGAGCAGGCAGAACAGTTTCTGTGAGGTTGTGAGGGCCACTAATAAATAACAGGTTATGAATTCCCTTCCCAGCAGAGCGATGACTAGCATACAACTCCCTGACTTCCCCTTGCAGTTGCTTCCAGAGATTACTACAAGTCCACAGTCCTCTTCCTAAGCCCCTTCTCGTTCATGGCACCTCCTGCAATAGCAACAGGAAGGAAGTTTTTCTGATCCAAAATCTCTGCTCTCTCCTTTTTTGGACCAAGGATCTCAATCTCTCTTATGCTCTTCAGAGGAAATTCTGCCATTGGACACAAGTAATCAGCTCTTGTGGGAATCTGCAAGACTTATGCTCACATAGCTGATATCTTAGTTCAGCCTTTATTCTTTCAGCCTGGGAGTGACGAAACTGTTCTGCTTACATGATTTCTCCTGATTTCAACAAGCATATCTCAGCATCTTGAGCAACTTGCCACTCTTCTGATTCATCAAAGGTTGAAGAATTACATGTGCTGTTCCTAGGACAAGAGAAAAGAAAAGCTGTTATTCTCTGGGTAGTCTGTGATCAAATATTGTCTACTTGCTGATGTCTTCCCAAAACAGAAATGCTTTGGTAGTCATGATGCCAAATTCTAGAATTTATTTTGTGCGTTCTAGTGACAAAATTGCCCTGGGCAAAACCGCAGCCCCATTCTGCTAACTGCTGTGCAAATATATATAACAGTTTCTATCTTGGTTTCATGAGCAAAGAGAAATACACACATTCAGAACATCTCTCCAATAGTCTCAAAATAAACTCCCTGTTGAGATGCTGCCAGGTTTTAAAGCTTCCCTGACAGGCAGAAATCTTGATGGACAGCTGACACAAGAAACACAGTCTGGGCTCTTCTCTAATAAAAAATCCATACAGGGATGTGACGCTGGTCCTTGATTTGATCCATGAATCCATATTATGGCTGTAGAATCACTATCATGTATCTTCTGTTCATATGAGAAATACTGGACGATTCAAATAGGAGTACACTGCAGAAGCTATTACAGGATGAGAAAGCTGCATGCCTCCTCCCCACCATCATGTGTCCAGGAGACTGAAAGAAGTAAATGGAAGAACCTCCCATCCACTCCCTACCTTGAAAGGGGTGAAAACTCTGGGTGTGCAGTGAAGTAGCACCAACTACGAATTATAGTCCTGGGGCACAGAGAGGTTGGCTGCAGAGAGGAGAAATGAGTTTGAGAGCTAGTGAAGAAATGCTGAGAGTTTCCAAATAAGTTAGTGCTTCTTTAAGTGATATTTACAGAATCACAGAATCATTTAGGTTGGAAGGGACCTCTGGAGATCATCTAGTCCAACCTCCCTGCTCAAGCAGGGACCTCTAGAGCATATTGCCCAGGATCACATCCAGACGGGTTTTGAATATCTCCAGCGAAGGAGACTCCACCACCCCTCTGGGCAACCTGTTCCAGTGCT